CTGACCACAGTAAACACTTTACTGATGAGTTTATGACCTCAACCACTAGTTTCAAGTCTTACTCAGTACACCATAATGCTTATTATGTAAATTATGGTCTCTATTAGAGGAAAATAAGAGGGTAAAGTAGGTAGTGCTTTAGTTAGTGATTGACAAGTTGTTGTGTGTGCAGCATTCTTCTGTTTCTCACTGGGATGCATCCCACGGACCTCCCTAACCAGTGATTCTTCTACAGCTACAATAATTATGATTAACATTTATGCTCTGATGTAATCTGTAAAATCAAAGGCTGCATTATTTTCCAAATTTCAGAAGGCTGAGCTGGTTACATGGATGACTGTGAAGCAGTCATTTTAATAATTCGAACGTCTCTTTAACTGATTTCCTTATTTGGTGTATGAATGTTTTTAACAGCTTGTTGAGAAACATCTTTGTGTGCATGCAAAGAATACTAATAAAGTTTTTCTTTGTGATTGCAGGGCTCAACAAAATCCTCAAAGAGCATGGAGCCACGGCGCAGGCCATCGAGGTAGCTTCCCTTCTTTCTTGTCTCCTGTCCTCCTCATCAGTTTTGAGTTTTCCTACTTTTCCTCTCCTCTTCCCTGCCGTTTCCTCCCTTCTCTCCACGTTTCCCATAAAAGGCTTCATTTGGATTATCGGGCTGCGTTTGTTTAATTATTTTAGAAAACGATCTCCCCTGCTTCCAGCAAAAGTGCAGATTTATAATGAGGGGGGGTGAAACAAATATCAGGCTTAGCTCTGTGCGTTCTCTGCATCCTGCTTGATAATGTGAGGAATCTGAAAATGAAAAGTTTAGATGTAACGTGATATTGGCCGATTTTTACCAGGGGACACTGTAAAAGCAACATGCCCCGCTGTTGAACTGGACCGCTCGGTGTGTTGTTGGACATAAAGATATCTGGTGTCAGCCTCGGTCCTCAGGGAGTCACACATGTTGTCAGTTGTGTAATTAATGTGTCAGACTTGATGGCACAACACAACTGTGTGCTGTGCGAAGCTTGAATGACAGTTTGGCTCCCTCGCAGCAATTCACCTACACGATATAAGGTAATAAAAACAGTTCAACATCTGGAACATCAGCATGTTTAACAGCTCATGCAGAGAACGCGTGAGTTCATTTACTGAGAGGATTACACCTGATTTCCATCCATATAAAGGAAAACATTTTTAAGTGCCTAACATCAGAATCATTGACAGTTGTCTGATGTAATCCTCCCGCTAAATTAACTAATCCAGTCAAACTCTGGGTTCAGACAGGTTTGGTACATTCCTGTGATCACACTTTTTATTTGCGTGGAGGTTTGTGTTGCTATGCCGTCCTCTAAGCCTACAAATAAAAGTGTTTGGGTAATACTACCTACCTACTTAGTTTAAATAACTAGGTAGTGTAGACAACATGTTTAGTATTTTTTATCAAAGCTAAAGAAAACCACAATTCTCACTTGTGGTAAACATAACATATCATAACACATCTACAGTGACAGGTTAATTTGACAGCTGTGGTCATGCAACATTGCAGATATTATTACATAGGTTCTCTGATTCTGAAATGTGGTGCACAGATCTTTCAACTGAAGACTTTTAGACATGCTACTTTTAAAAAAGAAGCACTGAGTTTGTTTTCTTTTGCTCTCATTCGAAGCAAATGTTCAAACTACCGAACTTTAAGATAGTTTGTCTTGATCCATGCTGAATCACCCCAGTAAGGATAAATCCGGTAAATCACAAAGTTGATTCTGTTCATCTGGACGTAGCGTTTTGAGTGGGAGAAATGTATCATCACTCATCCAAGTCAATTCTTCAGAGACGAAGACGCTACGTCCAGATGGACTGAATCAACTTTTTGGGATTTACGATGGTTTATCGGTATAGGTATACAAATGTAACCATTTTCAGGTGTATTTTTGTCTTCATCACCTTCTAGGGAAGCACTGACATATTTAACTGGTAAAAAAGATATTTATTACTTTTATGTGTTTACTGTTTGGTGCTGGAAATGGAAATATACAATAAGTCTCTGCTGGAAAACCAAAACAAGCTAAAATGGGCTTAAATCCCTGGGAGCTTGGCGGTCTTATATTACAATTTGTCATTGTGAAATATTCCTTCTGCGTCACATTTATATAATATTTAACATATAGAGGTGAAAAGCATCTGTAACTAATGCAGAGGAAAAAATGAATAGCGCATGGTGTTAAGTTGTTTGCTTAAGAAACTCAAAATATTAATAATAGAAAAGGTCAAATCAGTCTAAGTAGCGAGTTTAACTTGGACGAGCCAAGTGACCTTTTGGGTCATGAGAAAATATGTGATAATATGTTTATACCCATCAGGAAGTATGACAAGTATGATTATACGCTGAAGTCAAGTAGGGTGCTCTGTATTTTGAATGGAAATCCTGCTTGTTGACTTTTATTGCAGATATCTTGGGGGATTTTTTTTTTTAACAGTTAAATTCTAAGGTTTCTGGATTTAGGGAAAAAAAGGTTCAGTGTTTGTCTGAATTGACAAACGAGATCACTGCAGCACTGAAATAGAGCATGCAGAGATAATGCGTCATTTGTCAAATGCGGTATGCAGAAAAGGAGCAATCGCTTAATCTCTTCAGCTGATGAGAAGCAGGTTGGCACTCAGCCGGTCAACACATGCTGGTGAATCTGGAATGGGACCAAACCACAGGTCTACACTCGGAGGTGAGAGGCATACACAAGGAGATGCAAGAGAGTGAAAAGGAAATGGTGGGAAAGAGGAGATGCAGGTTTAAAGAAATATTTTCAAAAACTTGATAAGACTTCTGTCTCAGCACAGTAGAGACATGTGCGACATATCAATTTCTTTTATCTGAAGTGATGAATAATTTCCAGTAAGCATGTTTTGAGTGGCTCCAGATGTACAGAAAAGAGCAGGTTACAGTATTTGAACAGTAAAGCTGGAGCGATCCCCTCTCCCAGACATATGAGCAATTTCCTCAGGGGCTACTCACAGCTGACAAATGTGGGAAATATGCTGCAGTCTGGCTCCAGACACCTCTCGTGCAACCTCTTCAACTCACTCCCCACCTTCACTTCACCCACTTCACTTCTTTATGGCCTCTTTATGGTTGATATTTTCCTCAAAGGCAAAAGTCGGAAAGAGGTTTGATCAGTTGAGGTCTGTTTATTGCTAGTGAGACGGTGAGTCGCAGAGGACGCCTGTACGGCTCTACATCTCAGCCTGCAAAATGACTTCAGCCCCTATAACGAAACCAAATCCAGACATCTGCAAGGAAATTAGAAAAAAATCCAACTTG